TTCCTGGGTTGCCTGGAGCCAATCGGGGGGGGGGCTTTTCCCGGCGTTTGAGCCGACAAGGCGAGAGCGCGATAATCATCAAACCACCATTGGGAAGTGATTGTTATCGGCCTCTTGGGGCCCTCTTGCGGCTGCTCTTGGGGCCATCGCCGTCTTGAGCTACTTTGAGCGTTTCTGGGGCCTCTCTGTCGCGTTGGGGCCCTTATGGTGCCATCTTAGACAGCATCTAGGGCATCTTGGTGGCTGCGGAGGGTTGGTTTGAGGCTCCGAGGGCCTCGGAGGTGTTGGCGAGCTCGTGCCTCCCTCCCACCTCTAACAGGATTTCGGACCCAAGAGAAGGGGGACAGGGGGAAGGGTGAAAGCCAATCGTCTCACACGCCCTTTACTTCTGGAAGCGGGGGTCGGCAGATTTCGATCAGAAAGTTGTGTTGTCGCTGGTGCGTCCTTCATATGGCGCGGGCACCAGGGAGGCTCCGTCCAACGTGAACAACGCTGTCGCCGCAGCGGTGGCAGCGATGGTGGCCCTCTTGCATGCAGGCAAGTGCCACATTGGCTGCATTTGAAAGGTGGTATCTTGCTGGTTCGCTTGTCGCATTTCCTGGTCATCATGGAGCTTCTGTCTAATGTCGCTGCAGCTATTGCAGTGGTGGTCGTATTTCTGCCCCAGTGAACATGGTGATTTTGCTGCGGGTTTTGCCAGATGTTTGCCCTTCCGTCGACCCCCAATGTGGCGGTGCTCTCGCCACAGCGCTGACCGTACAGTAGGGACGTGCGTCAAGAAACCATATCTTGTTCGTCAGGGTATCCTGGGTTTCTTTGCTCCGCGCGTTGCGAGGTGACTTCCAGCGGCCATTGAAGAAGCTGCTGCGTTCAGGATGCTCTCGGTCTCCCCCCGTGTGCATCTCGCGCGCGGGTTTTCTGGGCTGGGTTTCTTGCGAGGATTTCTTGCGGCCGCGTCCGCACTGCACAGTCGGGATTCATTGGCAGGTCGACCCTTCTAGATCAAAGGGTGCCCTCGTGTCCCGTGTTTCGCGACCCATGCTTTCCACATTCCCATGGCAGTGTGGCCCTCGGAAGGGTCTCGTGTCCTCTCGCGTGTCCCCTCCAATCAGCCCCGACTGTTACCCCGTATCGGCGCACGTGGGGCTCCGCGGCAGCGCGTGCCACACCGATCTCCGTGCAGCTCCCGGCCAGCGCCGCGGCGCCATCGCCGCGGCGCTGGCCGCCCCTCGCTTCCGCACGGGGTGTCCCGTGTCTCCCCATGGGGTGGCCCGTGCGCGCCGTGGAGCTGGGGGTCGGGCCAGGCCGTGGGGATCAGGGGTCTCCGCGACGCCCGACTCTGCCACTCCAGAGGTTGTGCGACGCAGTGGGCATTCGATCGGATCTGGCGCGAGCCCACCACGCTTGAACGGGGAGTCCGCGAGGAGCCCACGAGCAGGCGCGGGCGCCGAAGTGGCGAAAACCACGGAAAGTCACTGAGTTGCTATCAATCCAATGAGAACCTTTACGTGCAAACACCGATTCGAGGATGAGGCCGTGCTCTGTCAGCCTTGATTTGAGCTCTTGGCAGTTGACTCGCATGGTGAATCCACATTCTTAGGCGAGGTCGACATTGGCCCCGACGGTGCGTGTTTTCTGCGCGGTCATATCATTCAATGCGGTTCCAGCGTTGAGTGTTTCCTTAACTCTTGCGGTTTTCAGATTTCAGTGCCTGTGGGAACCCACGTTGCCGTCGATGCGTTCATGGACGGCCTGGAGCGCAGCCTAGACAATGACGGTTGAAAGATTTCAGCATGCCATATCGCGCCGACAGGGCGTGGCGGTTCACCTGGAGGAGTGGGTATTTGCCAAGAAGCGTCTCGCACCAATCTATTTTTGTAGCATTCTTCGCGCTGCGGTCGCGATTCGACAGCGTGACCCGTTTCGAGGCCTTTTTGCTTTGACGCGGCACCTCTCTTTTGGTAATGTTGCGGTCATAGGTTTGCGCCTGCTCCCAGCCAGGTCTTGAGACCGCTGGCTATAATCAGTCGACTTTAGTAGCTGTCAGTGCCTTTGTCATGGGTTCAGCGGTCCCCTAGGTTATCGGAGCCGGGAACACGTCATTAGACGCTCTGACCAAAGCAGACTGGCCCAGCATGGGAGGTGACATCCTTATCCCTGACACTTGCGCCGTTAGCTGTGATAAAGCTGCAGAGGGCACCCTGATCGATTGTGCTGTGGTTCGTAGTGCGGTTTCTAAGTGTGTCCGTGTCTTTTCGCCGCGGGGTGCCGCGGCGTGGAACACCCACACTTTTCGGTGCCTTTCAGGCTTGGTGGCAGAAGAAGCATGTCACGTTCGACCCACTGCCCAATCCAGGGAGGCCTCGGATGGTCGCGGACCAGTCCAGTAAACGTTCCAGTCATTGAGCGGATGCGTGGGCCAAGCGCGGGGCCCGCCCGGCTCCAGAGTTGCAGGAGGAGGTTGATGTGTTCCGTGGCGAAGCCCAGGAAGAGGCTCACGAACCACAACCTGAGCTCGCTCTCTCGGCCGACCTGGGGGCCGCGTGCGATGCCGAGGCCGCCGTGTCTGCCCTCGGCGGATCCTGCGGTGAGGTGCCTTTGAGCCACTCCGTTCCGCTGCGGAACGTCGGGGACACGATCACGCCGCGCCCTTGTTCGTGCGCTGGGTGGTCACCTTGGAGATGGCCACCCTGCGCCTGCAGGGCTCCCTCTGCGATCTTTCCAAGTCTGGCCAGGGCGGGCGGTTGGCTACTCTGCATGCTGGCAGCGGTCGCGGGCCGCACAGGGCCGCGCGCGCACGACGGATGCGGCGGCGATCTTGTGGGGGACCTTCCGCACGTTGCTCGAGCGTTGGATCGGGCTGCGCCGTCGCGGCAAAGGTCCGCCGCAGCAGGTCGCCTGTCGTGCCGCGGTCCTTCGCCGAAGCGTAGAGGTGACACAGTCGTCGTGTGTGTGTGTGTGTGTTTGAGCGGCGTTTTGGCAGCGGGGCCCCGGAGCTCCGCGGCCGTCGGCCGGACTTGTACAGCTCGGTGGCTCCGGCGTCCGCGGAGGAGTGCGAGGTTCTGCCTCGGCTCGCTGCGCCCCTCGTGCGGCGAGCCCAGGGCTGGACGGCAGCAAGCGTTTGTCAAGGGGGCCCCTGAGCAGTGGAGCAGCACATCAGGTTCAGGTCGCGCTGATGATACAGACCCAGCGGTTGCTGTTGACGAGGTTCCTGGGTACTGAAGGGCCGGTCTCTTTTCCTGTAGGTCAGCAGACAGCTCGTAGGAATTGGCTGTGCTGTGGGTTGATCCCGTGGACACCTCTGCTGGCATCGTTGCCGTTATCACGGAGATGTGTCGGGTAGCGTCTCACTCAGAGCTTCCTTCGGGGGTGGACAGAACCCCCACACTGACACGTAGATTAGTGAATTGTCCGTTTTCGGTTCTCGAGAGGGCGCCGCGGCCGTCATTTACCAGGCTTGTGCCCGCCAGGTTTGGGCTCGAGGTCGTTTTCACTAAACCACGTTTTACTAGAGGGGGCTCTGTCCATCCCCGATTCCTGACTTGTCTGTTGAAGGCCTCGATTCGGTCTTCTGGACGTTGCCTGTCGAAGCCAGGGAAGCTGGCTGGTAGCAGCAGCAGGATCGGAGGAGGCCTGCGCGGAGCGTTGGCGTGGTTGAGTGTAAACGATCTTTCCGAATGCTCAGCGCACAAGGGGTTGAATCGTGCAACTGCCATTCGGATATCAATGTCCTCCAGAACACCCCATTCGACAGATAGAACGTATTCAGTGCAGTGGGACGGGATGTGTGAGAGGGTTCGGATGTCAAATGTGGAGTCGGCGTTATGCACCCCCTTTCCTTCCCCCCTCTCCCACCCTTCTAACGTAACGCTCCCCCCTCCCCGTGCGTCCCCGGCACTGCCGCAGTGCGTCTGGCACCACAGTCTGTGATGGGGGGTGGCGGGCGTTACGTTATGTTCCCCCCCGCTTCCCGTTCCCCCTCCAAAAACAATTTCTTGTTATCGCCGCGAATAAAAAATACTCTCCAGCTCTCTCCTTCTCCCTCCTCCCCTCCCTCCATCCTCCTCCTCCTCCCCTCTGCTCCCTTCTCCCTTCTTCCTCCTCCATGTGCCTCTTGCCCATCTTTGCAACCTTCCCCGTTCGCGCGCAGGCCAGCGGACCTGTCTCACTACGTGCGCTCGGTGAAGGTATCCTGATTTCTCCACCAGGGTCTCGAGGCTCATTTTATTCTCACAGGCTGCTTGATGGCAGGCAGTCTTTCAGGTTCACGTGTTGCTTCACATGCTCCGTTGCATTTTGCTCGCCGTAGGCCACCCCTTTCTCTCCCGTGGTCGTCGGTCTCGATTTGCGCGTCATCGTCGCCGCGCTTTCCCATTGCGAAGGCCTGACGGCCGGTGCCGTCGACCCTGGACGACGACGACGGCGGCGGCGGCGGCGACGGCGTTGGTGACGACGACGTTGACTCTCTGGAGCCGAAAGTTTCCGTCGGCGAGGGGTGCTGTCCCTGTGGGGGGGGTCACAACCTCGGGCCCCCCCCGCCAGGATCCCTGTGCACCCCGCCCGCGGGGGCGGTCGTGTGTGTGTAGGGGGGCAAGTGGAGGGGAGATATGGTTTTATTGCGAAGGCCTTACGGCCGGTGCCGCCGACCCTGAAGGGAGACGACACGACGACGGTGCTGCCTCTGGGGGGGTCACAACCTCGGGACCCCTCTCCAAGATTCCCGTGCATCCCGGCCGCGGGGGCGGTCGGGTGTGGGGCGGGGGGGAGTGGACGAGAAATATGGTTTGTTGCGAAGGCCTTACGGCCGGTGCCGCCGACCCTGAAGGGAGACGACGACGACGACGACGACGACGACGACGACGACGACGACGACGACGACGACGACGACGACGACGACGACGACGACGACGACGCGGACGTGGGCCAGAGTCCTCAGGGATGGTTCTTGGGGTCTCTTCGGAAGTCTCGGGGGCCTCTGGGGAGGAATTTTGGGGCTTCTTGGGAGCCTTGTGAGGGCCTCTTGGGGGCCTCTTGGGGGCCTCTTCGGGCTTCCTGGGACCTCTTGTGGGCCTCTTGGGGCCTCTGGGGAAACTCTAGGGGCCTCCTGGGAGCCTCGTGGGGCCGAGGGCTCGAAATGTCAGTTCGGGTCCCCCGTCTGGGCACGCTCTTGAAGCCGTCTTGGGGGCATCTGAGGCAGTCTTGGAGGCGTTTTGGGCTGTCTTGGGGTCCTCTTAGGCTGTTTTGGGGCCTTCTAGGGGCCTTCTTGGAACTTTCTGAGGCCCCACGGCCCCCAGGGGGGAAAAGCGTATCTAGGTGGCGACCCCCTCCAGGACCCCCCAAGGCCCCCACCCAGGACCCCCCCAGGACCCCCCAATTTGTGCTGATTTTGGAGAATCAATCGCGAAACATATCGCCATTATCATGGATCGCACTTTTTTCGTTATCGCGCGAGGCAGAACTCAGCCAAACCAGCGCCGCCAGCTTTTCAGTTCATGCGATTTCAGGTCTTTCTCTCGAACGCTGCGATCCAACGCGCTTAATTTCGCACGCGTGTCTTCGAATGGAGACCTGTGGTTCTGCGCGTTCTGCGCGCTGACCCCGCTCACGCGGAGCGCGGCTTCCGCCGGAGGTTCCTCTGGCGGCAATTGGGGGGCTAGTGCCGGAGGTCCCGTGTGCCATTCCGGCCAGTGGAACAAGGCTAGATGTTACATCCCCAAGGCTGCATCGTTTATTTATTGGCCTGTAAGGCGGCCTTGTCTGTCCAACGTGCCAGTGCGGGATCGGGAGACCCTGGTGCGTGCGTGCCTGTCTCGAGTCCTCCAAGTGTCTCTCGTCTCTGCAGTCTGACTTTCGCTCAATGGTGGCCCCTGCGTGGTGCCTTCGCGCTCGCCACGCGATAAGTAGCATCGCCCTTGTCAGCGCAGAGAGCGTCAGGGCTAGATGTTCTCACAACTTTCAATCAAGACGTGTCGCGTCTGGCCGTTTTCCGTATTCCAGCAGGCCCTCTCGGTGCCTCTCGTTTCCCTCGCCATCGAATCGAAAACCATTCTTGGGACCAGGTGATATTTCTGCCTGTGCTTGGATGACTTGAAACCTTGGAGGCATATTCGGTTGAAAACAAATCGAATTAAGCGTATCTGTTTTTGAAGCAAGTTCTTGGATTCTTAGGTCGGGAATCAGTGAAGCCTATGACAGCAAAGTCTTTTCGTATTTGTTTAATGCTATGTTATGTTTTGATTGGTTTCCTGATTTTCTGGAGTCTGGAGTTTTTGGTTGGGATTGAACTACGACCGACTTCGTCCAAACAAACACGCGGCAGGGAGGGACACACAGCAACAGTGAGATATTAAGAAGGAGAGAAGCAGCACACATATGACACAATATCACAATGAAACAAGACATGACAGCCACATCTTTCAATCGAGCCATACTTTCCCCTCACGGGGGTCTGGTCGGGGGTAGCGTGGGGGGTGGGGATGGTTGGGTGGTGGTGGTTGGGGGTTCAGCGGCGACGACGACGACTCAAGCAGAGATGCCCTTCACACACGCCAGCAGGGTCGGTATTTTTTCGTTGTCCCATGAGGCACTTGCTTTGTTCCTTGCTTTCGTGGTTCTTGGCATCCGGCATCTTTGGCCAGAGCTGCCTTCACGCTGGTCTTGTGCTCGTCGTCATTCTGCCCTCTGCGCTTCGATTCCTGGCATTGCTCCCTCGTCTTGCCATCCATTCCTCTCCTGCCTGCCTCCTCTAGAGCTCTTAGCTCCTGGGGATGACTGAGCCTTCAAGTCGAAGAAGCAACAACTACACAAGCATAAACTTTGGGCGCTCCGCGCGGAATTCTTGGATCTGCGCTGGACATCCCTCCTTGGCGCGCGGAGGGCAGAAGGGAGGGTCCAGCGCGCCAGGGAGGGGGGTCCAGCGCAGATCCAAGACTTCCGCGCGGAGCGCCAAGAGTGTGTGGTTGTGTAGTTGTTTCTTCTATCAAGCCCGAGCGTTCGGCCCAGGCACTTTCTCCAGGCGTGCATGGGCATTTTTCGACGTGCCCCGATCAGACTTGGGCCATGGCTGGCCCCGCGCGGGCGAGCAGGAGGCGCGCGCGAGAAAAGGAGGAGGGGAGGCGGAGGAGTTGGAGGAGGAGGAGGAGGAGGAGGAGAATGAGGATGAGGAGGATGAGGAGGAGGAGGATGTAGGCCTCCTAGATGCTGTCCAAGTAGATGGGGTCGGAGGGTCGCGTCACATCGCCGATGCATCGCCGATGTGCCTCGAGGTGGAACTCGATTTGCTTCACGTCGACGTCGCAGATGCATCGCCGACGTCGACGATTCATCGCCAGTGCATCGCCGATACATCGTTGATGTATCGGCGATGTATCGGCGATGCGGCACGATCCTCCGACCCCATCTACTTCGACCCCATCTAGGATGCCTCTAAATGTGGAGGAGGAGGATTATGAGAATATCAATTGCGTGCAGCACTCTCTCGTTTCTCGCTCCCCTCCTTCTTCTCCCTGTGTTCGTCCCCCTGGCGGTGTGCCCGCCGATCTTGCCGCGAGCCTGGCTGCGCGCCGATTCCATGTCAGCCGCAACGATGTTTTTTTTCAGCGTTTGACGGGAGAGTTTCGCGTTGGGGCCCGGGGTGAACACAATTCGACCAAACAGCAAAGGACACCAACCCACCTGCGGCCTTCCATGATGCGCTGCGGCCCACTGGGGGCCGTAGCGTGTACCACGCAAAAGCCCACGCCAGATTTGCTGGTACACGCCGCAGGCGGGGTGGTGTCGTTTGTTTCCTGGTCCAGCAATGTGTGAACTGCGTTGTACGGGCACCTGGCTTCTGGGTGTAGATGTTGTTCGCCCGGGTTCCTCAGAGAGGTCTCGGGCACGCTTTTTGGTGGAATTGGGGCTGCCAAGGTCCAGGATACCTGCAGAACGCGTGAACACGCATCCAAAAACAGTGCCGAAACCCTGGAGAAAGGTCCCGAACACTCGCGCGATCCAGCGGAAAGGCAGTGTAGCTATGGTGTTTAGCGGTTGTCAGAGACGATTGAGCGTGTCCATCCAAATCCACCTGATTCGCATGAAACATCTTCCCCAAGGAGAGCGTGCCACCAGCTGCGCTTCGCTGAAAGCTGCTTGGGGGCACCAGTACCGAGCCAGTTTGCTTCCAACAGCCCGAAGGGCGACCGACACATCGCCAACCAGAGCATGCTATCCATTGGGGAGAACACATGGACGAAACGGGCCGACTGCTAGCGGTAAATGACATTGCGTCACGCAAGATGTAGGATGGGAGGAGCACGCGCATTTGTTGTTTGACAGCAGCTGCCACAATGCAAAACCCGTTCTATCAGTCACGAGGCTGCTGTGTTCCACATCAGCTTCTTGTGAGACGGATGCGGATCCGGCCAAAAATAATTCGAAGCCGAATCTACGAAGACGCCGTGGGAGAAGAGTGGTTCGATCGAATTTTTGGCCCACAAACCAATTTTGGAAGCAGTGCCAAGGGCAAAACTCCTGCGTATGTGCTAGCGTCATCATACGTGTAATTGGTTATGAGGCCTTCCACCTCACTCAGCGAAAGTATGTGTGTGTGACTGTGAACAAGGAATCGCACGCTAACCTGTTCGAGTGAACGCTCGGGAATCAATGTGCCGTGTCGTCCGTCCATGAGATGTCCAACCATTGAGAATGGAGATCGAGGGGCCATGGTAGAAACAAACATGTCCCAATCCTTCTGTCAGACTGTTCTAATTCTCTTGGCGAATAATTGGTTTTCAGCCGAAGTTCTGGATCTGTTCATATTCGCCAGCGACATGGTACATCCAGCCGCGCCTCGATATGCAACCCATGTTTCCTACCGTAGTGCTGTCGATTTTCATGCCGGATCAGAATCTCCAAAGCTTGAGAGGGCATACCGACTTGAGAGAAGTTCGTGCTGATCGAGGGGTATCCGCAGTCGTCGGTTCCATCATCCAAAGTAGAGTCGCGCAATTCTGCGGGCAAGGCTGCAAGGTTATCCGGTGGCTTAGCTGAATATTGTGGCGTGCTGTGATTAGAGCGTGCCGGTTCGCGGGGGGTGATTCAACCATCCCCCAGGTATCCCGTCCGCAGTCATTTGGAAGAGCAGAGATTGTAGGAATCTCCCACTCGCCGCTTGACGCATAGGGAGTCCCCGGGAACCAGGTATGGTAGGTCATCCGAAGGACTAATAAATTGGGAATGCGCCGTTCTCAGAAAAAGGCCCTGATGCGATCCGACAGCTGCAGGGAGGTAACTGATTTGCCAATGCAGACTTCCGATTCAACAGGGGGC